TATGGGTCGAAAAGCACGAAAAAGATCTGCAACATCTAAGTTGATATATCTTCCTTTAGCACCACGTTTGCAGAGATTATATGCCTCGAGCGCTACCGCTAAGCACATGACGTGGCATGTAGAGCATGACACTGAAGAAGGGTTAATGTGTCATCCATAAGATTCCGCAGTGTGGAAGCATTTTGACAGGTGTTATCCTCAATTTTATTTTGAGCCGCGCAACGTGAAACTTGGGTTATGTTCTGATGGTTTTGCTCCGTACGGTCAATTTGGAGGCCAGTTCTCATGTTGGCCAATTATCATTACACCATATAACTTCCCCTCGGACATGTGTATGAAAAATCATTTTATGTTTTTATCATTGATGTGTCCAGGTCCTGGTAATCCAAAAAAAGAATTGATGTGTATTTGCAGCCATTGATCGAAGACCTGAAACATTTGTGGGAAGTTGGTGTTCCAACATATGATGTTTCGAGGGATCAAATATTTAATATGAAAGCTGCGATTATGTGGACCATTAGTGATTTTCCAGCATACATAATGCTCTCTGGATAGACCATTTATGATCGTGTTCGAAACATCCCTTCTGCCATTGACGAGCCTCTTAAGTATCCAGATGGATATCACATTTATCATAAGTGGACAAAGAAAAGCATTTTCTTGGATTTGCCATATTGGAAGGATCTTCTGATTAGGCATAATTTGGATGTAATGCATATTGAGAAAAATGTTTTCGATAACATTTTTAACACGGTTATGAACTTCAAGGGAAAGACTAAGGATGGCCTTTCATCAAGGAAAGATGTAGCTCTGTTTTGTGATAGACCGGAAATTGCTATGAGCCCTGAGTATGTTGGTCCATTCAAGAAAGCAGTTTATCAACTCACGGACGAGCAGAAGAAATGCATATTGGAGTGGCTCATCATGCTACGATTCCCTGATGGATACACTTCTAACTTTAATAGATATGTTGACTTAGAAAATTTGGTAATGAAGAACATGAAGAGTCACGACTGCCATGTGATGATGCAACGCCTCCTTCCAATTGCATTGAAGGAAAATCTCCCGAATAATGTGTGGGCATCTATTTGTGATGTTTCTCAATTATTTCAGTTGTTATGCTCAACGGTGCTAGACATACAAGCAATTCAGGAGCTGCACCGTAACGTTCCCACTGAGGTCATTGATGCGACGATAGACACTGAATGATGATGATGATGAGTACGTTGACCATATTGACTCCTAAGATGAAGAAGAATGAATTGTTTTATTTCAACTTTTTTTATTTCTTGTCACGACTGTTTCCGAATAATTCAATTTGTAGTCTACACTGTTTCTGAGTTATTTTCTCGTCTATTTAATCAAATTTGGTAGATAATTTCTCGTCTATTTAACGAATTTAAATAGTTCAAATGCACATTTTTAAACGCAAACCGATTTTATTACGCCAAAAGTGAACATTTTTATTACATTAATTTTAGTCAAAACAGACTAAAATTACTGAAAACTCAAACGACACACGATAATAAGAATTACATAAGCAAACCATACATGATAATGATAATAACAGTACATAGTAAAATGATACACTTATTTGATTATTCATAGTGTCTTCCGACCATTGTCTTCACTTTTAGCCTTCACTTCAGAATCTTCACTTTTAGCCTTCACTTCACTTCCCCTTTTCAATAACTGATTAATTTTTTTAGCTGCAACATCATCAACAGGCTTCATTAACTTAAGTATTTCCCCTATCTGATCAATTTTTTTTCCCAACTTATCAAAATCGCATCCCCATATTTTTTTTTTCACTTGAACCTTCAGATTTTTCCATAATAAAGTTTTTCTAATTTCTCACTTTTTAACTATTTTTACCCTATTATATGAAGCCATATTTATAGTAGAGTTGAAAAATTGGCAAGGACTTGACTGGAATAATTCTGTCTCAAAACATTATATCCGCTAAAATGTATGCAATTGACACGGACTTGGCTGGAATAAATCCGTCTCAGAACATTATATCCGCTGAAATGTATGCAATTGGCAGGGAATAATCCCTGCCAAATCCGAGCCAATCCTGGTCTGACATAATAATTACTGACTGCACAGAGTTTCAGACGACTTTTCAGTGTGGCACGGATTTTTGAAAATTTAAACCGCTCGTTTTTTTTCGCGCAATTGGGACGGATTTGTCCGCGCCAACTCGCAGCCAAGAGCGAACACTAATCCGGAAGGGTCTAGAACGGTTTTGGCAGTGCTCTTGCGACGGATATTTCCGAGCCAACGCCGGAAGTATATAAAGTGTCGTTAATGCATTTCGTTCAAACCGCAGCTCATTCAATTCGTACAAACCCTAGCACCGCTCTGTACATACTCCCCCATACCCAGCCACCGCCTACTCGTCCGGCTACCCCTCCGGCTACCCCTCCGGCTTCCTACTCCAGTGACAATGTACTCTGCCTCCCTTCTGTTTCAAGCCGCCTCCGAAGGTTGCCGTGTTTCGAGCCACTCCGACGCTTGCAGTCTTTCAAGCCGCTGCGACGTTTGCCCTCCGCTTTCAGCCGGCCATTTGCAGGTATTTTCAAATAAACTCATCATGTATAATAAACGAAGTATTATAATCTAGAAACAATTTTTTTTAAATACTTTATTGTTTATATTTTAACTCCGTCATGATATCGTTTTTTTGGTATCATGTCTGTCCCAAGCCAGGATAAAGGAGGAGGGTGCTGTGGTAGGCGTGTGACGGCCAACAGTATCACCTAGTCACATCACATGACATGACTTTATTGTTTATATTTTCTATTAGAAGCGTAATATTATGGGCACCTTAAAAAATGTTGCTAGTATTTATAATTTATTTATAAATTTTTAGACGAAGTATTATAATGATTTTTTTATTAATACTTTTTTAAAAACGAAGTATTATAATCAACTTATTACAATATATTTATGAAGTATCTATAAATTTATAAACGGATTATTTAAAAACGAAGTATATAAATTCTTAAATTCGTTATTTTATATACGAATGTAATTTTTTTTTAAAGTTGTTTATAACCTTTTTTTTATATTACTTGGTGTAACCTAATTTTTTCAAACGAATTTCATAATTTTTTGATAATATTTGGTTATAACCTAATTGTTTCACTGGTCACATTCTATAATATTGCTATTAGCTTCGATAGAATGTCTTCTCGTAGAGGTTCATTTACTTCCTCCCGCGGAGGTCGTGGAGGTAGAGGTAGCCCACCCATTGTCCAGAATGAGCAGAACTCCCCTCTAGGTCATTCGCATGAGTTTGTCCAATCCCGACACCCTACTGATGATCATTTAAGTGGTTTTGATTCTTCGACCCCTGATGAATCTGTTCAGCAAAAGACTTTCATTTCACCCTTTGAAATGAGAAGGTAATGTAAAACTTCACAAGGCATTTTTTATATAATATATTCGTATCTATACATTACACTTATATGTTCTTTTTTGATGAAGCAATCCTACTGTCCTCAACAACATCATTTCAATCCTCACTAACAATTTCCGCGGGCCATGGCGTTCTTATATGCATGCGGACGCTGATCAATGCAACCGTGGGTGGAAACTGTTTCAGGTATGTTATAGGTACTTACTTTTAGTTTTTATTTGACAGGTTGTGAGTTATGTTCAGAGAAAGTATGAGTGGGATCCCTGCTTTGATACCAAAATGAAAAAGAAGTTCAAGTCTCGGGCCTCTGATTGGTTGAGCAAAAATATTGGCAGAGCTAGGCGGAAGAACAAGAAGTCGGACTGGATTGGAGATGGAGATTGGAAGCTGTTGCAAGAATATTGGGCCTCTGATGCTTTTAAGAAAAAGAGCCAAGTTGAAAAGAAGAACAGGAACTCTAAAGCTGGGAAGGAATCACAATATCGCGGTGGCAGGATACCGGTGACTACGCATGTTGAAAGGCTGGTGAGTTTAATTGAACTGTATTCAACTGCATTTTACCTTTTATTGATCTCCTATCTTTAATTATGTAGACGAAGGAGTTGAATAGGCCCCCATTGAAGATTGAAGTGTTTGACAAGGTTTATGTCCCGAAATCGGGTGACCCCCCAGCACGTGTAGTTGAAACCAAGGTAAATTCTATATATCGATTTGTTTTCTTATTAATATATATAAAAAGTATATGTCTTAGTAATCTAGAATGAATATATTTGAACCTCCTATCTTCTGATTGTGCAGCAAAAATACAATGAGATGAAAGCCCAGGTTGAATCGCAAGGGAAGTCTTACGAAGAGGATGATTCTGAGCTGTTTTGCGCGGTGGTCCCGCTGTACAAAGGCAGGCGGTTTGGGACGGGATCTGAAGCTGAAGCTGTAACACCGCCCCCGAGTATTTGTACTGTACCAAATTATGTATTGAACCTTGAGAAATGTATAAAAGCATTTTTACGTGACTGTAAACTTTTTATCATTTCTATTACGTGAATAGTAGAATTCACGTGGGGCCCACACCGGATGTGGGGCCGCCCGATATTATCGGAAGCACATATTATATTGATCTTGGACTAGATAATATGTATATGGTGATGGATATCCTAATTGGGCCATGGCAATGGCATAGAGTTGACCGGTTGGTCAAACGGGGCCAAATTATCGGTATCAGCAATTTATCTGATAACAGCCCAAAAAGGGATTCCGGAGATTTCTAAATTAAAGTTGGGGAATCATATTGATTCTAAGGTCCAATAAGGATTGGAAACAAGTGTTATATTTTATTTGACCCGATAAAATAAAATATACTTAAAACAATCTGAAAAATACAACTTTCGGGACCGATTGTACACTCGGGTACACAAAGGGTTGACCTCCCACATAAGTGGGGGCCAACCCACGTCCTTAGCTCTGCAAGGATTCAAGGGGAGCCGCACAAACATAAGGAAAAAGGGGCAAAAGTTGATGGGAGGCCAAACCAATAAATGGAGAGGGGTCCCTCCCCCATATTATTGGTGAATAAGCCAAAAAGGCTATCCCTCTCACCCCCACACCCCATATGCTCGGCTCAATCATCCAAGGAAGGGAGAGGAACTCTGAAACTACTCCATTTCTTCATCCATACACGCACCAAGTTGAGGGAGGAAGAAGAAAGGAAAAAAGAGAAGAGAAAAGAGGAGTTTAGGTGGGAAAACTTGTGTTTAGCAAGGTAAGGACCCCATTAATCCCATTTCGTTGTCTTTAATCCTCTTATATGATTATTCAATCATATTTCACACCCTAGTATTGTTCTACACGTTGTTATGTGTAGAAAGAGGGGTTGGAAGGTAGTTCTAAGTCCAAGAACGGACTTAGGAGCCAAAGTAACCGGTTCGCCGGAAAATAACCTTTTGGGGGTTATTTGTATTACTATGGGTTTTATGATGATAAAACCTTGTTAGTAACTTGTCTAAGGTATTCAAGGAACTTTCACGGAGTTGAAAGAGTCGCCGGAGTTGTCGCCGGAGTTCGTTGAAGTTCGCCGGAGTTTCGCCGGAGCTAAATCGGGAAGGCTAGAACTTCATAAGCTTCATTAAGGTGAGAAGACGGTTTTATGCTTTATAACTTTTGCGTGAGGCATGAGATTACCTAAAGTAATCAGGAATATGTTTTGTGGAATGATTAAAGATAACCAAGTGTGTGTTTATGCCATGATTATACATAAAACATAATTGAAAAGCATGTTATGTAGGTTTGGTGATAAAAAATGTGATAACTTCTTATGTGTGATGTTCCAGGGATCCAAAATGGTATTTTTGGATCCAGGACGTCAAGAAGTATAAGTGTATAAAATTTCACGTTAATCGGACTTCGTTTGGGCGGTCAAACGAGCGTTGACCGCCAAGACAAAGGTGATACCCGACCGGGTATGGGTGAATACCCGACCGGGTTTTGATTAAAAATGGCTCCAGAAGCCACTGCCACACTAGACCCGACCGGGTATGGGTGTAGACCCCACCCGACCGGGTAAGGTGGGATACCCGACCGGGTCTTGGGTTAAGCCCAGAATGGGCAGTTTTGAGTAGGTTAACGTGGGCCGTTCGGGTGGGACCCGCCCACGTTGGATCCTAAGGATTGTTATATGACTATAGGGCTAGGCATTGTCCATAGTTAAAGGAATGAAAGGTTAGCCATATCCAGGTTAGGATTTGGTAGAGAATAGACTGGGGATTGAGTGCCCTTGGACGGTAAATGATCCAGAATACTCCAGGTGGGGTCGAGTACCCTTGGACGGTAAATGATCCAGAATACTCCAGGTGGGGTCGAGTACCCTTGGACGGTAAATGATCCAGAATACTCCAGGTGGGGTCGAGTACCCTTGGACGGTAAATGATCCAGAATACTCCAGGTGGGGTCGAGTACCCTTGGACGGTAAATGATCCGGAATACTCCAGGTGGGGCCGAGTACCCTTGGACGGTAAATGATCTTAAATACTCCAGGATGGGTTGAGTGCCTTGGACGGTATATGATCCTAAAACACTCGGTAGTATGAATCGAAGGTAGACTATAGCTTGTGAGCTAGGTAACCGGGAAAGGAGTGAGAAAAGTCAGGTAAGAACTTTATCTCTAAAAGACTCTTTAAGGTAAATGACCTACGGGTTGAGTATTTTACGAGTATATATACAGTATGTATCATCGGGTGGATGAGGGACATCTATATGTATATATCACCCTATTTTTGGGTCTCGTGTCTGAAACATTAGTTATTCTTCATATAGCCTGCTTGTCACTAGTACTTCTATGGAGTACTGACCCCTCCGGGGACCCTCACATTTTTCAGGTTGAGGCTAGAGTCCTACTACCTGCACCTTTGCCTAGGGTGACTGATCGAGAAGGAAGACGTGGTTCGTGCTTCCATTCTTATTTCAAATGTATAAACCGCTCATGGATTTTTGAACAATATTTTCATCAAAACAGTTGGGGGTCTGCGTGCCCGTGTTTGCCACGTGTGGCTAAGTATCAAACATTTTATTATTTCCGCATTTGTTTTATTATGATATTGATGTTGATTGTATGTGTTTACTAATCGGTTTGGCAATAGAATCAATCAGACGCCTTGTACAACTCAATAGGGATGAACTGTTGTTGTTCTTATCGGGTTGTACGGCGGTTGTCTACGTGGCTCGGATGCGGTCCGGGGCGTGACAATTTAGTGGTATCAGAGCCATCGATTTCTAAACTATATAATTAACCTCTCAATATGGTTATCCTCAAAAAGTCTTGAATAAAACCATGAGCAACAGTTTTTGTACTTAAGGAACCGTTGGAAACCAAGTTATTGACCTCTTATTGTTAAGACGGTACCCTTAACAGTTTGTTGGCCATAATGTTGGACCAAGTGGTGTCTTTTGTACTAATCCGTCGATTGACATTGAAACGAGTCTAATGACTCATTCCTTATTTCTTTCAGAAATGGAGGGTGGACGCAGGATAACTAGGAGGAACCCGACAGGGCATGTGCCGGGGGCCACCGGGCATGCCACTCGGGCGGAATCACGGACCTCTAGGGGTAGAGGCCGGGGCCAAAGCCGAGGAGGAGGCCGAGGCAGGGGTCGTGGGCGTTCTACAACGCCGATGGCAAGTAGCACACGTGTCGGTTCTGTGCACCCATCTAGGGCCACCGAACCGGACGATTTCACGTATGCTCCAAGCACGGAGCAAGAGGAGACCCCGTACAACGGGGAGGACTTTGAGGAAGAAGATGAGGATGATGATCCTCATTATGACCGTATGAGTGAGGTACTAGAATGGTACCTCGAGAATAAGGCAAAGAGAGAACAGCGGCGCCAAGCTAGACAGGCTAGGCAGACCATGGGGCAAGGAAGCCGAGGTGCTTCTAGTGCTCCATCGGGGGCATTTGGAGGAGACACGATGGTGCGTATCTCCAAGTACCTCAAGGAGGCCAGGGCCTTGGGGTGCAAATCATTTGATGGCAAGGGCGACATATCTGAGGCCGCCGACTGGATTAAGAAGCTGAATGATGCTTCTAGGGACATGCAAATTTCACTCGACGTGAAGTTGAGGGTTGCCACCAGGTTACTAGAAGGGGTAGCTGTTGTATGGTGGGAAGGCGTGGAGGGAAAGTTCCACGGTGAAGCCACTTGGGAGGAATTCGAAGTGGAGTTCTATAATCAGTACTACTCAACTTTTGAAGTCAATCTCAAAAGAAGAGAGTACACGAACCTGAAACAGGAGGATGGTTGCTCGGTGAGGCAATTGGAACAAAGGTTCCGTGACTTGGCACGATTCATCCCAGAATACTCGTTGGATGAAAATCGTATGGCCAATCACTTTTGGGATGCTCTACAGTTGGACATCCGTGACCGGGCTACTTACCATCACAGTATGACATTTAGCCAAATCGTTGATCAGGGGCTCCTTGGGGAAGCCCAATGGAACGAGAGGAAGTTGAGGGACGCCGAGGAGGCGAAGAAAAGAAGATGGGGAAACGCTGGACCCCAAGACCACTCCCGGAAGCATCATGCTGGGGGTGGCAGTTCATTCAGGGCGCCGGCACCACCGGCGAAAAGGAATAAAGGCTCAGGAGGGCAAGGGGCCAGACCAGGGAGTACGTGGTCACCGAGGTGTGCAAACTGCGGCAAGAGTCATGCGGGGAAGTGCAATGAACCACCCCGGTGTTACAAATGCGGTAGCACGAGCCACCTCAAATCCTCTTGTCCAATGCTGAACGGGGGAGGACCATCGGGAGCCATGGGAGGACCTACGACTAGTAGGGGACGTGCGGGGCCGTCTCAGGCCGGCACGGGAAGGAGCGGACCCACGGCTAGCAACGCCGCGTCCGTTAACCAAGGGAGGACCCAAGCACGGGTGTATGCAATGACCGAGGCTGATGCTCGGGCCAACCCGGACTCCATTGCAGGTAATCTCTTGATTTCACACGTATTTGATCATGTAATGGGTTGAAAAATCTTCAAAAATATGAAGGACCCGATCGGGTACTCCTATAGACCCGACCGGGTATAAGCTATGCTTCAAGTTTGAAGTGTGCACCCGTTCGGGCAGCCAAGGCAGGATGCCTTATTTTTGACATTTCGAGCAATACCCGATCGGGTATGGCTATATACCCGACCGGGTATGTGTATATTTTGAGCTTCGAAGTGTGTACTCGATCGAGCGTAGAAGACAGGGAGCTTTTATTTGTGGATTTTGAGTGATACCCGACCGGGTATAGGTATATACCCGACCGGGTATTGACATTTTGCCCGAATTCGAGGCTGGTACTCGACCGAGCAAGGAAGACAGGGGGGTTTCCCCTTAAGAATTCGAGTGATACCCGACCGGGTAGAAGACCCTACCCGACCGGGTATAGGGTAATTCTAGGTTGAAATTTTTCCGTCCGGTCCTTTTCTGTCGGGATGACGAATAGGGTGTCTTACATGACTTATATATGTAGGAACACTAAAGATCAACGATAGGGATGCGAGAATTCTCATCGATACCGGGGCACAACGTTCGTTTGTGAGCGAAGCGTTTGCCAAGGGATTGAACATGCCTTTGGTAGCAATGATGCAACCTTTGCTGGTCTCTACGCCATTGGGAGATGATGTAGAGCGGAAACACTACTATCCCTCGTGTAACGTAGGGATAGGGGGGCACTGTCTAACGGGTGACTTTGTGCCGTTAGATATGCTCGAGTTTGATGCTATACTTGGCATGGATTGGCTCGAAAAACACCATGCGAAGGTAGATTGCTACACCAAGGTGTTAGAACTAAAGGATGGAGAAGGAAACACTCTATGCTTCGAGGGAGATAGAGGGAAATTCAACCCTTGTATCATATCGGCCATAAGAGCAAGGCGTATGATGAGGAAAGGGTGTCAAGCATACTTGGCCTATGTCATAGGCAAGGAGGGCAAGGAGAAGAGTCTCACTGAGGTGAGAGTGGTGAGTGAGTACCCATAAGTTTTCCCTGAAGAACTCCCGGGACTCCCACCAGATCGAGAAATTGAGTTCACCATTGAGGTAGAACCCGGTACAAAACCCATCTCGATTCCTCCATATCGGATGGCACCGGCTGAACTTCAAGAGTTGAAGGTGCAATTGGAAGAATTGCTGGACAGCGGATTCATCAGGCTGAGTCATTCACCATGGGGAGCACCGGTACTATTTGTAAAGAAGAAGGATGGTACACTCAGAATGTGTATCGACTACCGTCAGTTGAACAAGGTCACGATAAAGAACAAATATCCTTTGCCAAGGATCGATGACTTGTTTGATCAACTACGGGGGGAAACGGTGTTCTCTAAGATTGACTTGAGGTCAGGCTACCATCAACTGAAGATCAAGGAGAGTGACATACCCAAAAGTGCATTCCGTACGAGGTATGGTCACTATGAGTTTCTAGTAATGTCGTTTGGGCTTACGAACGCCCCCGCGACATTCATGGACCTCATGAACCGAGTATTTCACCAATACTTAGACCAGTTCGTCATAGTGTTCATTGATGACATTTTGATATACTCCATGAATGAAGAGGAACACGAAAAACATCTAAGGCTTGTGCTTGAAACACTGCGGGAGAAGCAACTCTTTTCCAAATTCTCTAAATGCGAATTTTGGCTTGGGGAGATCGGTTTTCTCGGGCATGTGGTATCGGGCTCGGGCATTTCAGTTGATAACTCTAAGATTGAGGCGGTCACTAATTGGGAGAGGCCCAAGAACGTGAAGGAGATAAGGAGTTTCCTCGGTTTAGCGGGGTATTACCGCAAATTCGTGGAAAAGTTCTCGGTGATAGCATCCCCACTCACGAAGCTCACTAAAAAGGGGGCTAAGTTTGTGTGGGATGACAAGTGTGAGAAGGGGTTTCTTGAGCTAAAGAAACGTTTGACCGAAGCACCAGTGCTTGCCTTGCCCGTGCAAGGGTTAGGGTATGACATCTACAACGATGCTAGCATTCAGGGACTGGGATGTGTACTGATGCAATCAGGGAAGGTAATTGCTCATGCTTCTCGGCAGTTGAGGAAGCATGAAGTAAACTACCCCACACATGATCTGGAGCTAGGTGCTGTGGTATTTGCATTGAAGATTTGGAGGCACTACCTCTACGGGGAGTTGTGTCACATTTACACCGACCACAAGAGCTTGAAGTATGTGTTCACTCAGAAAGAGTTGAACATGAGACAGAGGAGATGGATGGAGTTGATTAAGGATTACAACTTGATCATTGACTATCATCCAGGCAAGGCTAATGTTGTAGCTGATGCACTGAGCAGGAAGAGCTCATCATCAGGGGTTTTACTCACATGCTTACGGGCACTGAGGGCACGTGTGGAGGTATCCACGGATGGGGCGCTATTGGCAAGATTTGAGGTAAGACCCACCTTATTAGATGAAATCAGAACATGTCAAGGCAATGACGAGGAATTTCAGAAAATCCGGGAACGGATGCTTGTGGGGCCCGTCGAGGGTTTCCGTGAGAGAGAAGATGGACTTCTACTATTCAAGGAGCGAGTGTGTGTACCATCGGATGAGGAGCTCCGAAAATCTATCCTTGAGGAGGCTCACTCATCTGCGTATGCCATGCACCCGGGCGGTACAAAGATGTACCGGGACTTGAAGGAAAGCTACTGGTGGTCGGGGATGAAGAGAGAGATTGCAGAATACGTGAGCCGTTGCCTTACTTGTCAACAGGTTAAGGCAGAGCACCAACACCCGGCAGGGTTATTGCAACCACTTACCATTCCAGAATGGAAGTGGGAGCATGTTACCATGGACTTCGTGGTGGGTCTACCACGGACGGTTAGGAACTACGACGCAGTATGGGTGGTAGTCGATAGGCTGACCAAGAGCGCTCATTTCCTACCCATCAACACTACTTATACGCTCGAGCGGTTGGCCAAATTGTACACAGATGAGATTGTGAGACTGCATGGGGTTCCGGTTACTATAGTATCGGATAGAGACCCACGGTTCACATCACGGTTTTGGCCTAAGTTCCAGGAATCCATGGGTACGAAATTGAGGTTTAGTACCGCGTTTCATCCTCAAACGGATGGGCAATCTGAACGGGTGATTCAGATCTTGGAGGACATGTTAAGGGCATGTGCCTTGGAGTTCCAGGGGAGCTGGGACAATCAGTTGGCTTTAGTGGAATTCGCCTATAACAACAGTTATCAGGCAAGTATAGGCATGCCCCCATACGAGGCATTGTATGGGAGGAAATGCCGGACACCATTATGTTGGGACGAGGTCGGAGAGGCTAAGCTCGAGGGCACCGAGTTAGTCGAGATCACTAAGGAGAAGATAAAAGTCATACAGGATAGGCTCAAGGCTGCCCAAGACCGGCAGAAGAGCTATGCTGATAAACGTCGGAGGACGTTGGAGTTTGAGGTTGGTGACGAGGTATTTCTGAGGGTATCACCTTGGAAAAGGATCATCAGGTTCCTCAGTCGGGGTAAGCTTAACCCACGTTACATAGGTCCGTTCAAAATCCTTGAAAGGATTGGGGTTGTAGCATACCGACTTCAGTTGACCCCAGAATTAGAAAAGATTCACAATGTATTTCATGTTTCTATGCTCAAGAAGTATGTGCGGGACCCGTCACATATTCTTGCGAAACCACCGGTGGAAATCCGAGAAGACCTACACTATACGGTGCAGCCGGTGAAAATCATGGACCGGCAGATAAAGAAGCTAAGGAGCAAGGAGGTGCCGATGGTAAAAGTACTTTGGAAGAGTGATCGTGTCGAGGAGCAAACGTGGGAAGTGGAGACCCTAATGAGGGAACAATATCCATTTCTGTTTGATTAGACACGTGGATTTCGGGGACGAAATCCCAAATAAGGGGGGTAGAACTTGTAACACCCCCCCCCCCCCCCGAGTATTTGTACTGTACCAAATTATGTATTGAACCTTGAAAAATGTATAAAAGCATTTTTACGTGACTGTAAACTTTTTATCATTTCTATTACGTGAATAGTAGAATTCACGTGGGGCCCACACCGGATGTGGGGCCGCCCGATATTATCGGAAGCACATATTATATTGATCTTGGACTAGATAATATGTATATGGTGATGGATATCCTAATTGGGACATGGCAATGGCATAGAGTTGACCGGTTGGTCAAACGGGGCCAAATTATCGGTATCGGCAATTTATCTGATAACAGCCCAAAAAGGGATTCCGGAGATTTCTAAATTAAAGTTGGGGAATCATATTGATTCTAAGGTCCAATAAGGATTGGAAACAAGTGTTATATTTTATTTGACCCGATAAAATAAAATATACTTAAAACAGTCCGGAAAATACAACTTTCGGGACCGATTGTACACTCGGGTACACAAAGGGTTGACCTCCCGACCGGGTCTTGGGTTAAGCCCAGAATGGGCAGTTTTGAGTAGGTTAACGTGGGCCGTTCGGGTGGGACCCGCCCACGTTGGATCCTAAGGATTGTTATATGACTATAGGGCTAGGCATTGTCCATAGTTAAAGGAATGAAAGGTTAGCCATATCCAGGTTAGGATTTGGTAGAGAATAGACTGGGGATTGAGTGCCCTTGGACGGTAAATGATCCAGAATACTCCAGGTGGGGTCGAGTACCCTCGGACGGTAAATGATCCAGAATACTCCAGGTGGGGTCGAGTACCCTTGGACGGTAAATGATCCAGAATACTCCAGGTGGGGTCGAGTACCCTTGGACGGTAAATGATCCAGAATACTCCAGGTGGGGTCGAGTACCCTTGGACGGTAAATGATCCAGAATACTCCAGGTGGGGCCGAGTACCCTTGGACGGTAAATGATCTTAAATACTCCAGGATGGGTTGAGTACCTTGGACGGTAAATGATCCTAAAACACTCGGTAGTATGAATCGAAGGTAGACTATAGCTTGTGAGCTAGGTAACCGGGAAAGGAGTGAGAAAAGTCAGGTAAGAACTTTATCTCTAAAAGACTCTTTAAGGTAAATGACCTACGGGTTGAGTATTTTACGAGTATATATACAGTATGTATCATCGGGTGGATGAGGGACATCTATATGTATATATCACCCTATTTTTGGGTCTCGTGTCTGAAACATTAGTTATTCTTCATATATCCTGCTTGTCACTAGTACTTCTATGGAGTACTGACCCCTCCGGGGGCCCTCACATTTTTCAGGTTGAGGCTAGAGTCCTACTACCTGCACCTTTGCCTAGGGTGACTGATCGAGAAGGAAGACGTGGTTCGTGCTTCCATTCTTATTTCAAATGTATAAACCGCTCATGGATTTTTGAACAATATTTTCATCAAAACAGTTGGGGGTCTGCGTGCCCGTGTTTGCCACGTGTGGCTAAGTATCAAACATTTTATTATTTCCGCATTTGTTTTATTATGATATTGATGTTGATTGTATGTGTTTACTAATCGGTTTGGCAATAGAATCAATCAGACGCCTTGTACAACTCAATAGGGATGAACTGTTGTTGTTCTTATCGGGTTGTACGGCGGTTGTCTACGTGGCTCGGATGCGGTCCGGGGCGTGACAATTTAGTGGTATCAGAGCCATCGATTTCTAAACTATATAATTAACCTCTCAATATGGTTATCCTCAAAAAGTCTTGAATAAAACCATGAGCAACAGTTTTTGTACTTAAGGAACCGTTGGAAACCAAGTTATTGACCTCTTATTGTTAAGACGGTACCCTTAACAGTTTGTTGGCCATAATGTTGGACCAAGTGGTGTCTTTTGTACTAATCCGTCGATTGACATTGAAACGAGTCTAATGACTCATTCCTTATTTCTTTCAGAAATGGAGGGTGGACGCAGGATAACTAGGAGGAACCCGACAGGGCATGTGCCGGGGGCCACCGGGCATGCCACTCGGGCGGAATCACGGACCTCTAGGGGTAGAGGCCGGGGCCAAAGCCGAGGAGGAGGCCGAGGCAGGGGTCGTGGGCGTTCTACAACGCCGATGGCAAGTAGCACACGTGTCGGTTCTGTGCACCCATCTAGGGCCACCGAACCGGACGATTTCACGTATGCTCCAAGCACGGAGCAAGAGGAGACCCCGTACAACGGGGAGGACTTTGAGGAAGAAGATGAGGATGATGATCCTCATTATGACCGTATGAGTGAGGTACTAGAATGGTACCTCGAGAATAAGGCAAAGAGAGAACAGCGGCGCCAAGCTAGACAGGCTAGGCAGACCATGGGGCAAGGAAGCCGAGGTGCTTCTAGTGCTCCATCGGGGGCATTTGGAGGAGACACGATGGTGCGTATCTCCAAGTACCTCAAGGAGGCCAGGGCCTTGGGGTGCAAATCATTTGATGGCAAGGGCGACATATCTGAGGCCGCCGACTGGATTAAGAAGCTGAATGATGCTTCTAGGGACATGCAAATTTCACTCGACGTGAAGTTGAGGGTTGCCACCAGGTTACTAGAAGGGGTAGCTGTTGTATGGTGGGAAGGCGTGGAGGGAAAGTTCCACGGTGAAGCCACTTGGGAGGAATTCGAAGTGGAGTTCTATAATCAGTACTACTCAACTTTTGAAGTCAATCTCAAAAGAAGAGAGTACACGAACCTGAAACAGGAGGATGGTTGCTCGGTGAGGCAATTGGAACAAAGGTTCTTTTGTTAATTTGTGCACTTTCATTTGCTCTATAATGTTTATCTTTCATTTTCTCTATATGTTTCCCAGATAAATGTTTTGTTTATAATTATTTGAAGAAAAAAAACTGTACACCGTACATATGTATGGTATTCCGTACATATGTACGGTGTACTATTTTTTTTTAAATTAAATTTGGCACGGATGTCGTCCGTCCCAAAATCCAGAACGGGTTTCGGTTAAAAATTTGGCACGACCTTATCCGAGCCAACAAACGGGTAAAGATTTGGGTAACCCGTTTTATTCCGTGCCAATATCCGTGCCAAGGTAAATCCGAGCCAAATTTTTGAGGGTAGTAATCGGTGTTGTTGTCTCTGAAATTCCGTGCCCAAAGCCGTGCCAAGAGTTGGCGCGGATTTTTTTCCCGTTCCAAAGCATTTGGCACGAGCTAAGTGCGTCGGATTCCACATCCGTGCCTAATCCGTGCCAACAGCGATAATCTGGGATTTTTGTGAAGCGTTTTGTGCCAAAATCCGATCCATTGGCGTATTTTTTTGGTAGTGGTAGAAATAACTGTAGAACCTGGAGCCTAGAAGCCTAGAAATAGAAGCCGAACTACCCAAGGGGGGGGGGGGGGGGGGATAAAAAAGAAAGAATGACTCAAATATTACTACTAGAATTTCAATAGACAAAATTGTCACTAATTTTAATCTGGACAAAAATATGACTTATCGTTCGATCACTTTCCCCTTTTGCAGCCCATCCCTTTACTCTGTCCCTTGAGAACATCAATTCCAGGCCGCTTCCCACACTCGAAGCTACCAGGTTCGCCTCTTTCATTCCAGGTCTGTATACTCCGCTAAAGATGACATAAACCGGCGAGAACAGCGACACTCCGGCGGCGGCAACTTGCTGACTCCACGTCCAAAACCTATGTTGATTCCACTGCCTAATTCAACTTCTTCTCCTTTCTTTGTTGTCTTCTAATTTTCTTCTTTCTAATTTTCTTGATTCTTGCTAAAACGAGATCTGAAGTGCGAAGCTATGGTTAGGTTTTGTTTATTGGTATTGCACAATTGAGTTTGCAACTAAGATTGTGCAATGTAGGTTTAATCTGGGGGTTTAATCTGGGTTATTTGGGGGTGGAGATGAGCATCCGTACTTGAGACATGGAAAAGAAGCCAACAAAGGCATTTTTACTTTGCTTCTACGAGAAATGATGGAGATTTGGGCTAGAGAGGGGCATGGGAGGAGGCTATGGCTGGGGGCGTGGGTATGTGCAGGGGCCGAGAAGGGGGTGGCCGGGAAGGTGAGGGGAGTTTAGGGACTGGGGGCTGAGGGACGGTGGTGGCAATGATGTCACTATGACCGGCTCACTGTGGTCGACGTCACTATAGTCAGTGTCACTGTGGTCAGTGTCACCATGTCCGGTGTTATTGAGGCCGGTGGTAGCTAGTGTCCGGATGGCGGCGGTCATCAGTTGGAGGTGGCGGTGGATGTCACTATTTATGTGTCACTACGGAGATGTCACTGCGGAGGTGTCACTCTGACGGCGACGGTGGCGGCGGCAGTGATCGACGGCAGTGGCGGCGGTGGTAACCACGGCAGTGACACGAGTCATGATGATAGTGACATCCGACAGTGACGTGAAAATTGGACAATGACATGAATATTTGGTAGTCACTTCATACTTTTACAAATATATAACATGTTAGTCACATTTTTTTCCAAATGTAAATGAAGACACTTTTTTGGAAATTAGTTTTAGTTTAGTAATATTCAGGGAGGAACCCCAATAAAAAATAACTAGCAATTACATATGTATAATACTAATACATATAAATTTTTGGACCCCTAATTTTTTCAGAATTTTGGGGTCCTGAGGGCTGAGGCCCAAACCTCTCCAGCCTCATAAGGCACGACCCTGTGACTAATTCTAACAGCGACATGAGAACAAATTATATTTGCCTATTACAGAAATGGTATGATTCGATTGTTTATTTATCAATTCGTTCTATTTTTTGTTTCATCTTGAACAATTTTTCTTAGTTTTATGAGAAACACATACACGTTAATTTATTGAAAAAAAATCCGCATATTAAAGGTGATGAAGTTCTAATTAAATTGAACAATTCCTTCTGTCCCGTAATCCTCGATTAATGTAACTTAGAATGCTCTAGATTTCATTTATAAATTCTAATCATGAGCGGAAAGTTAGACCTATAGATTTCATTTAGTTTTAATTGTTATTTGATTTGTATTGTATTTGTATTTAATTCATTTTGTTTTCCACTAACATATTTTTACTCAACTATAAATTGTGTAATTAATATCGCTTACTACCAATACAAGTGAAGTTAAGTAAGTGACAAGAGGCTTTTGTTAAAAGAAATGCATGTGAAGGTAATTTATTAATGAAATGACAAGTACACCCTTATGTATTTGTTGATTAGAGAGTACGTTATTTATGTGAAGCCAAAGTCCATGATCTCGTGTTCCCTGCAAGTACCTGAAAATTCTCTTGACTGCAAAAAGATGAGTGGTACGAGGAGCATGCATGACCTGAGACACTAAGTGTACTGCATAAGTAATATCTGGCCGTGTCAAAGTTAAATATTGTAATGCACCAACCATGCTGCGATACTCAGTAGAATCAGACAATAACTCACCATCAGAAAGAGACAGAGTGGTACGGGAAGCTAACGGCGTGCGAACAAGTTTGACAGTATGAAGGTGAAAACGAGATAGAAGGTCAGTAACATATTTATGTTGAGAGAGAAACATACCTTTAGCTGAACGAATGGCCTCAACACCCAAAAAATAATGGAGATTACCCAAGTCTTTCATAGCAAAATGTTTAGAGATAATTGAAATAAATTGGGTAACAGATGATTCAGAATTGCCAGTAATAATAATATCATCCACATATAGTAATAAATAAATAATAGTATTATTCTGGCGGTATATGAACAAAGAATTGTCAGATTTGCTACAGGAAAAATTATGTTGTAGAAGAAAGCTGCTAAATCTATGAAACCAGGCCCATGGAGCTTGCTTAAGGCCATAAATGGCCTTGCGCAGACGACATATATGATTAGGAAAGTGAGGGTGAATAAAACCACGGGGCTGCCGCATATAAACTTCTTCTGTCAGATTACCATGTAAGAAGGCATTTTTAACATCAAGTTGTCGTATACCCCACCCAAAAGAAATAGCTAGAGTAAGTACAATACGAACAGTGGTGGGTTTTACGACAGGACTAAAAGTTTCAGAGAAATCAATACCTGCCTGCTGATTAAAACCTTGTGCAACTAATCGAGCTTTATGGTGCTCTAAGGATCCATCAGAATGATATTTAGTTTTATAAATCCACTTACATCCAACAATATTTTTAGAGTTATCAAAGGGCACCAAGTCCCACGTATTATTATTAATGAGTGCATTAAATTCGTCAGCCATCGCCTCACGCCATTTTAATTCTTTATTTGCCTCAGTAAAACAGGTAGGATCTGCAGCGATAGTAACTGTACTTAAATTAAAAATGGTTTTAGGCTTTAAAATTCCTGACTTAGCACGGGTTTGCATGGGATGGTGATTAACTACCGTAGTGGACGTAGGTAAGGTGGTTTCAGGTGAGATAGTGTCGGTTGAGGTTGTATGTGGCGTGCTAGACGAAGTATGGGAGGAGACATGTGATGGTAGGGGGCTGGTTGTGGACGTTGGGAAGGAGGGAGTTGGCGATGGGACACACGGAGTGATAGGAATACTTGGTGACCGAGGTGGCGATGGGGGGGGGGGGGGTGCGGCCGTAATTGTGGGAACAGACTGGACAGGTGGGTCAAGAGTGATATCGGTGAGATGCATAGGAGATGGAGTAGTAGAAATAGAATTGGATGGAGCAGACGATCGAGAGAGTCTAAAAGGATATGTGTCCTCATGAAACCTAACATGACGGCTAACATAGACTCTACCAGTGAAAGGATCCAAACAAAGATAGCTTTTATAACTAGATGCATAGCCAAGGAAAACACACTGAACTGAACGAGGTGATAATTTATTGGCTGAGGTGGCATTAAAATTTGGATAACAAGCAGAACCAAATACTCGCATAAAGGAGTAATCTGGAACACGGTTAAAAAGTTTTTGGTACGGAGTAAGACCATTTAAGGTAGGAGAGGGTAATCTATTAATAATATATGCAGCAGTGAATATGGCATCGACCCAATAGTGACTCGGAACCGAAGCTTCAAGAAGCATGGTCCTAGTTAACTCAAGTAAATGACGATGCTTGCGCTCAGCAACCCCATTTTGTTGAGGTGTGTCAGGACAAGATTTTCTAAAATAAATGACATTAACAGAAAAAAATTGCTGCATATTATTATTAACAAACTCACCTCCCCCATCACTTTGAAAAATTTTAATTTTCTGATTAAAAAGATTTTCAACCAAAGCTTTAAAATTTTTAAAGTGCATGAAAACTTCATTTTTGTGACACATGCGATATATCCAAGTATAACGAGAAAAATCATCAATGAAACATACATAATACTTGAATCCCAAATTTGAATACACAGGTGACTGCCACACATCAGAATGAATAATTTCCAAAGGAAAAAAAGAATTATGACTAGCATCCATAAAAGGCAAACGTTGTGATTTTCCTAAACGAGAAGCCACACACTCATGAGTAAAGGGAGTATGACTACATAAAAATTGTTTTCTCTTAAGAAACTGTAAAGTACTATCACCACAGTAACCTAATCTACGGTGCCACACAGGGCCAAAAGCTAAAACGGAAGCAAAAACTAATGGTGATGATGACGGCAGATGGAGAGGATAAAGTGGCCCACTACTAGTAGCTCACAGAAGTATTGCCCCTGTTGCTTTGTCCTTAATCAAAAAAGAATTTTTATAAAAAATTACAGTACAATTATTATCACCACCGAGCCTTTTAATGGAAATTAAATTATATTTTAACTGAGACACATGATAAACAGATTTTAAAGTGAGAGGACGACTAGATGTAGGTAAAGCAACATCACCAACATTACATATGGGAAGATGGGCACCATTGGCAACAC